AGCAACCCCTTCATGGCCTTCCTGGTGACTTTGGCGTGCCGGTAGAGTTCCCAGCCAGGTGATGAGGGAATCTGTGGAATGGCCTGACCATTTTCCTTGAAGTGCTGGATCCTGCCACCACTCAGCAAGAGCCCACTGGCCTCGTCCCTGTATGCGACGAGTCGATCTGTTGTAGTGCTGGGGAAGGTAGCTCTTTCTTGTGCTGCAAGGCAGAGGTCTCGGAAGGTATCCTCTCTTTCGGCGACCGTAACTACCAGCCTAGGGAACTGCCTCCCACCTTGGATTTCCCTGGACTCTGTCATGGCGAAATTTCTTTGCTGCCCTCCAGACCAGTGCAAAAGACTTTACCAGTCTGGTTAGGCTGCTGAATTGCTGGATTTTTACCAGGTTTGTCACTGCAGCCCCAGCAGGAGGCCTGTGCAGATTGACAGAGCATGAAATTGGCTCCAGCTTAGGGTGCTTTCTTTGCTCCAGCACGTGTGAGGGCAGCGACGAATGCCTTCTTCTGGATGTGCATCACATTGCTTCCACAGCAACGTCTTTTGCGGACTTGATTGGCCACTCACTTTCAGTAAGACTTAAAAACTTGGGACCCAGCTGCCATTCTGTACCTTCATCCAACTCCTTTGGACTTACCCCTCTTGAGATAATATTTGCGGCATTGAGAGACCCGGAGATCCACCACCACTCTTGGATGTTTGAACTGCCTTGGATTTCTCCAATTCTATTGGCAAAAAAAGTTTGGTAGCCATAGCTCTCACGTTGGATTGCACCCAGGACTGTCTGGCTGTCAACCAGGTGCTAGCACTTTTCCACACAGATGTTGCCGTGCTTCTGAAAGTGCTTCTTCAGACGGCTCTCATGTACTTTGAGAGTTTGGAATTTCTTGCAGTAGTAGAATTTCCTACTGTGGCCCCTCTCTCAACAGACAATGCAGGATGCTTGGGAGCACTGGAAGTTGGTGGTCTTTGAGCGTGCATGCTTTTGGGGGACTCTTGTTTCCCTTCTGCTGGGGTCCTCATCCTTCAGTTGGTCCAGCTGCTTGTAAATCTTCTCCTGACTTCTCAGGAACTTGAGGAGTATGTTGAACCTGTCTTCAGGGGAGGCATCTTCCTCTCTTTCTGACACATGGACCAGCCACTCCTTCTTTAGGCCTTCAGGCAGATTACTCTCCAGAGCCTTTGTGACGAGTGGGTTTCTCAGAGCACCAGTGTTTTCCACGCCACTGAGGTCATACAGGGCCTTTTCCACAATTTGTATTAAGTCCACAATCTTCCTAGGTTGGTGAATTTTACTAGTGGGAACACCTGTAGCTCCTCAATGATTTTCAAGTGCAATTGCTGTCTTATTTCCAAACCTGTTTTACAGGACACGGAAGATCTCCTTCGCTGCTCCATATGTTGACAGGCGAAGGTCCCTTACTACTTTGTCCTCCAGGCTGCCCAAAAGCTGAATCTTCTTGACCTCCTTGGAGCCGGTCGGTTCCCCTTGTCTTTGAAGTGCCTCCCATTCTTTCCTCCAGAGATAGAAGTTGCGTTTGTTACCATCAAACTGTGAGAGTGCCGTTGGTTTAAGTTTGATGGCAGGTGACTTGTGGGGTGTTTCCTCATCTGACTCGTTTTCCAGCTTTGTCTGCAGAAGACCAGCTTTCTCAGAGGTTAACTCCAGTAGTGAGCCTTCTACACTCCTGATGCACTTCTGGAAATCAGGTCGCTCCTCTTCTGGCACCCACCAAGTCCATTGGGGCATGGTTTCTTTCGCAGTCTTCACCAGCCGCTCAATGTTTCTAAGCATTAGTTCATACACCTCTAGCTTCAGGTCAGATGCACTTATAATGAGTCGCTTACACTCCTTCTCAGCTGCCCTTAGTCCAAGAGAGAGTTTGGTGTAGCCAAAACTTTGCCACAGTCTTCTGAACAGCGGCCTCTATCTCTTCTAGCTTCTGTTCGCAGTTCTCTGTTGTTTTCCTCACATCTGCATTGATGTCCACTTTATCAGCTGCTTCAAGCTCCGCTTCCTCAGTGAACATTCCACTTCCTCATTTGCCTCCATTACCTTCTCAGGCTCAAGTGTGACCTTGCTGAAGGCATCCATTAGTTCTTCTGCTGGCATTTTCTTGCAAGACTTCAAAAGTGAGTTTGCTTGCTGGGTAAACCATTGCTTGGCTGTTGTTCTCTCTCTTTTTACCTGTTGCAGAGATTTTGACTCAGCCATTTTCAGTTTTGGAGAGAATGGCGGGCAGGATGTGGGCTCAGTGGCAGGCGGGCTTTGCAGGACGCAGAAGTTTTGCAGGGAGTTTCAGTCTGGGTGGATGGGACCTCTTCAACCAGCTGGATGCGGTTTTTCACTGTCAAGTGATTTCAACAAAGGGGGAGTTCGCCGAAACACCTATTTCATCATCATTCTATCTCTATTGTCCCACTCTGCAGAATCTTTTAGTTCAATCTCTAAAGTTCAGCTCTCTCTACTTTTTCTCATAATAGCTTCATCTGGTCTGTTCCTGTTTGGCTGTGACTCCATCCTGAAGAGAAATATTAGCCTGTTTTTCAATGTAGTCCTGTTTCTCTGGCTGTGACTCACTGGATGTGCTCTCTTTCATCTTCTGACATGTCAGCTGGTTCAGAGCTCGTCTGCCTGGCAGTGTGTCTCCTGGACAGGGCTACCTCAGTATGTCACCTCAGTCAGCCTCAGCAGATGGCCGCTGACACTGAACCTGGTTCTGCTGGTGGTTACTTCCTGTTAAAGGGGGAGTTTTCCTCTGTCACTACAAGTATACTTGGTTTTAGGGATTGCTGTTGAGTCAATGAGTCGATTCAATCAGCTGGTTTTCCTTAGATAGAAAACGTTGTATAAATCTGGTCGTATGCTGTGGTTGAATTGTCTCTGTAAAATGGCTTCAGATGACATGTCTTGCTAAGTGGCATGTGAAGTAAAAATGAGTGCTGAGAGTTGATATGCAAGGAAGAAAAGGTTTTTATTTTACTCTGCAGAGGAGAACAACACAAACAGCTGAATACAGCTCTCAGTTTGGCTCTGGGGTGTTCAGGAATCCACCCCTGCATATAAAGAGACTCCACACGAACATTGTTTTTTCAGGTCATCAAGGACATAAATTTAGTTAGATAAACACTTCAGACAACTGTTTCCCATCCATACGCCAAACAGGACGTGAGAACCTTGAGCACAGTGGGGACATTCTTATCTAAACTAGGGAGGAAACTTTCTTCTTCTCAGGCTTTTAATAATCACTATTCAGGCAGAGAAAAGGAACACTTTTAAACATTTTATCTCACAAACAGGTCAAGGAAAAATATGAAGGCCCTATATAAATCAACTGTCCCTTAAAACCCTAATTGAGTTGAGCTGGGGAAATAATCCCAGTTTGTTTAGCACCTTTGTCATATCTGCTCCTAGAAAATCCATCAAGGAGATCCTGTTTGTGACGCCAACTGTTATTAGAAAAGAAATTCTAAGTCTTATATTATCAGAAATTTTGATCGTTGCTCTTCATTCAAGTAGCCTTTATTAATCTTTCTTCAAGGAAGAACAGATACAGTCTTTGCCAGTGTTCTGCCTGCTCTGGTCAACAGGACTTCACAAACTAATTAAGAAGCACAGGAAGGGAGACTCAGAGACAAAGTAGATAGTTTTTCACATACCAAAGGATTGTTAAAATAATATGGAGTCTAAAGGTTATTTCAACAATCCTTTTGAAATACACTTTGGACTAAAGGAGTCTAGTCTCTTACCAAAACAACTAAAACAAGAAAACAGCTTCTGAGGTGTCACCAAGACACGACTCTCATCTAGTCTTGTCTAGCAGGTCCTCTGCTTGAGCAAATACAGGAAATACAGTTCACAAGGTCTCAATCATAAATCAAAGACTGCAAACCATAGTTTGGGCCCATCTTAGGCCCACCCTATATGGCGCATTTCATATCTAACCTGTCATGCATTTCTGCTTTCCACACACACATTTATCAATTGTTTATTCTAAATACAGAAACATCACGGGTCACAATTTGCTACAGTTTAAACAGATATAACAGAGTCCTTTTTTGAGTTCTTAGTTTTATCAGAAGAACATATTGTCAGAACAATGTAAAATCAAAATCATTATAACATTTTTTTAACTCAGATCAGACAAGATCTCTGCCCTTATTTCTCACTTCCTTCCTTAAAGTAACTTAAAACATTCAATTTTATCCGCAGCACAGGAACTTTTACTCAATTCATTTCTTCATGAGGATGTCTGAGACTACTGGCTGCGGCTACACAGAAAGCACTGCTGTGACATTACTTCCTGATTTGCTCCAGACAGTCAGTTGTAAAGTTGCCTGATAATGCTTCAATCAGGTTTATTACATTGATAATTCTTTGTGGAGAAAAAAGGCTGACTTCACCTCACCTCACAGCTGTGATTACCATTGCTTCTCTTGGATGGGAGCATTGGCACTGCTGGATGACCTTGGCTGACTTGATATTTATTGCCCTACCATGTTAGTTTTGCCTAACCGTAACATCAGTGGACTTAAGACCTTAATAAATGATCTACCTTTTTTAATTGTCAAACATCAATGAACTGTTTAATAATCTGTTAATCATAAATGAATGTTCCCTTTAAAATTTATAACTGAGGGTTTGTGAGGAATCCAGTCGGTTTTTGTGTTCCTTTTTTTCTCCACCAGGTGGTGCCCCGTCCTCATTGGGCCTCCCTGCACACCTGCAGCTCGTTGCCTCATTACCTGTGGGGTGTTCTTAAGCTGCTGACTGCCACTACCTCGACGCCAGAGTGTTTGCCAGTTTGGGGTACTCTAGCCAAGCTCAGTTTAGCAGAGTCTAATCTGAATTTTTGTTTTGCTAGTTTTGGGTACTCTAGCCAAGCTGAGTTTTGCTAAGTCAAACTGAGTTTTTTGTTTACCTGAGTTTTAATCTAGCTGTTTTTGTCTTTGTCTTTAATCCCCACAATAACCCGTTCAAGTACCGCAGGAAATCCGCAGGAAATCTAAGTGGCAGTCAGCTTCTCCGTTCACCAAGGAACAATTGCAGTCTGGGTAAACCCTGTCCAACCACCATCAAACAAGACAACCATTGGAACATCCCACACAGACTAGATTCAATAAAAGACACCTTTTTCTGGAAACGTGAGTCTGCAACCTATTCCTCCTCTTCAAGTCAAAGATGGATATCAAATATGGATTAAAATTTATGTATTTTAGCTGCACCAATATATTCTACATATCTGCAGATTGAGGACATCTAAATGTAATAAAGTGGCTGCATGTAGCTGAAGAACGTACACTTTCGGTTGTTATCTATACCAGAGAGTACTGCTCATCCAAATTTATATTTTTTAAAATAATTACAGCTGTTAAACACTCACCAACATGTATTAGCCCACAGGTTTTTAACATGATCAACAAGTAATCGCTGTCTCAAGCCAAATAAACCTAAATAATTCTCTAAAATGAACCATAAGTCTGAGATATTCCTGTCAGCGCTAAGCATGTTTTTTTTCTAAACAGAATTGTTGATATGAGCAGACAATGCACCACATCGTAGATGTGTTGCCATTTCCAATGCTTTGTTTCATTCTTCATGCAAGTACTGTGGCTACCTAACAGGAACTTAATCCGACTCTGCAGCACACGTATCAACACATTAAGATAAATGCCTCATTTACAATTCTTTGATCTTTACTCTGCCATTGTTAACCAATAAATAACACATACAATTGATCAGGTGACTCAATACAAAACACATTATCAGTCATAAGGTGTGTTGCCTTTTGATAATGCCAAACACATTCACTTTGGATCTTACACAACGTCTTGTAGATCAGCCTGATTAAGAGGAGAGATGATCAGAGGAGCAGAGTTTTTACCTCCATGATTAAGAGACGGACTAAAGAATGGGTAGAGTTTCTGAGTGAAGCAGCAGCCAGTAAAGGAGTAGATCAGAGCTGCAGCATCTACATCATAGAAGGAGACCAGACCCTCCTCATAATCCACAAACACCCCCACCTTCTCAGGACCAGAATGGAGATGGAGACGGACTGGAGGACCAGCTGCAGCTTTGTACTCATCTCCATTTCTTAAACCCACAGTCCAGTAACCATCCAGAGGTCTCAGTATGATGTTTCCCTTCCTGTTGATGGACTCTCTGGCCACTCCTAAGGTCCAGTCAGTTTTTCCTTTAACCTGAACCTCAAAGTAAAAACTGCCTGAAGAGAAACTCTGACGTCCTAATACATTGGCAAACAAGGAAAATCTCTCTGGATTGTCTGGTAGATCTTTCTCTACATCTCCATCTTTCACCTGTTTTCCATCATCAGACAGGATGAGGTCAGGATGAGCTGTATCAGGATCCAGAGTCACATCCACTGCAGACTGCTGGACCCTCTTCATCTCAGCCTTCATCATCTGATTCCTAAGTTTCTCCGCCAGCTGAGTCACAGCTCTCACTACAGTCCCCTCGTATAATTTCGGACGGACTCTGACCTCTGTCCAGTTCTTGGTGGGTGGAGCAGCTTTCAGGGAGGAGAAGCTTTGGAGGAGGTGGAGGTGGTCTTCAGACTGGGAGAGCTGCTTCACCTCAGAGCTCCTCTTCATCAGCTCAGAGATTTCCTGTTCCAGATCTTTGATGAAGTCTTCAGCCTGTTTCTCTGCAGTTTTCTGTTTGTCTTCGATCTCCTTGATGAGCTCCTTCAGGCCTCTCTCAGCAGACTCCTTTAGAGCAGTGAAGACCTCAACACCTTCTGCTTTCTCTCTGTCTGCAGCATCTTTACTGATCTTCACAGACTCTTTGATCTCCTGAATCTTCACTCGTCTGTTCTGGATCATCTTCTGAACTTCATCCTCTGTCTTCCTCAGCCCTTCTTTTTTTTCTTCAAATTCTTCTATCAGAGGAACAACCTCGTGGTTCTTGTGGTCCAAAACAGAACAGAGCGAACAGACACATGTCTGGTCGGTCCTACAGAACAGCTCCAGAGGTTTATCGTGCTGCAGACACATCCTGTCCTCCAGGTTCTCCACAGGCTCCATCAGCTGATGTTTCTTCAGACGTGGAGCTGTCAGATGAGGCTCCAGGTGAGTCTGACAGTAGGAGAGGAGACACACCAGGCAGGACTTCAGGGCCTTCAGTTTGGTTCCAGTGCAGACGTCACAGGGAACTTCTCCTAGTTTGGCAGCTTGTTGCTCTGAGCTGCTGCTGCTGATGGCTTCCTGCTGAGCTTCACGTCTGAACTGAGAAACCTTCTCGTTGATGAAGGTGTTTGCTCTAAGCTGAGAACTAGTAGTGAACTGCTCTTGGCACAGAGGACACTTATAGAGAACATTAACATCCCAGTGCTGAGTGATGCAGGCTTTGCAGAAGTTGTGTCCACATGGTGTGCTAACTGGATCAGTGAAGACATCCAGACAGATGGAGCACAGGAACTGATCCTCAGACCGCAGGTTGCTGCTAGAAGACATGTCTGAACTCTGAGGAAAGGAGACAGAAAGGAGACCCAGTTTAAATTGCTGTTTTTTGGTGCCACAAACCATGATAATCATTTTGGACATTTAGGACCGATATTGCTGATTAACAAAGCCATTTGATTGGGGGGATGCAATTGGCTCAAACAAATCTAACTGCTGCAAAGTCCCTCCCCAAAGACAGTGTCCCAAGGCACTTTTATAGTCATGCAGCCCTCCCTGCCACGGTGCAGAGGATTTCTTTCTGTAAAGCTGTGCGGCGGATTACACTGGAAGATGCACAAGCTTAGAAAACCCTGGCCAAAGGTCCAGATGTCCAGACCTACCAAGCTTAAGTTGTGCAGATGGACATTTCATAACCAAACTGCTGGAAAACAGACTGTTTGCAAAATTCCTCCTTGAGTTTCAGGAACTTGAATATAGTGGAGATGAATAAAGCGGAGGAGGAGAGCTCCCCTGATGTGTGTCTAGCTGGAACAAAGTTTGACGAGGATGGGATTTCCCAGAGAAAGGTGTGAAGAGTTAAGACAAAAGAAAAAAACAAACAAAACAACAAATGTTTGATTTTCTCCTGACCTTACGATTGCTGATGGTGAGGTAGTCATGAGAGGCTGATCGCCCCTCATTACCCCCTGTATACTACACTGTCAGGTTTATTCAATGATGATTATAAAGTTAATGTACACTATATTGCCAAAAGTATTTGCTCACCTGCCTTGACTCACATATGAGCTTAAGTGACATCCCGTTCCTAATCCATAGGGTTCAATATGACGTCGGTCCACCCTTTGCAGCTAGAACAGCTTCAACTCTTCTGGGAAGGCTGTCCACAAGGTTTAGGAGTGTGTTTATGGGAATTTTTGACCATTCTTCCAGAAGCGCATTTGTGAGGTCGCACACTGATGTTGGACGAGAAGGCCTGGCTCTCAGTCTCCGCTCTAATTCATCCCAAAGGTGTTCTATCGGGTTGAGGTCAGGACTCTGTGCAGGCCAGTCAAGTTCATCCACACCAGACTCTGTCATCCATGTCTTTATGGACCTTGCTTTGTGCACTGGTGCACAGTCATGTTGGAAGAGGAAGGGGCCAGCTCCAAACTGTTCCCACAAAGTTGGGAGCATGGAATTGTCCAAAATGTCTTGGTATGCTGAAGCATTCAGAGTTCCTTTCACTGGAACTAAGGGGCCAAGCCCAGCTCCTGAAAAACAACCCCACACCATAATCCCCCCTCCACCAAACTTTACACTTGGCACAATGCAGTCAGACAAGTACCGTTCTCCTGGCAACCGCCAAACCCAGACCCGTCCATCAGATTGCCAGATGGAGAAGCGCGATTCGTCACTCCAGAGAACGCGTCTCCACTGCTCTAGAGTCCAGTGGCGGCGTGCTTTACACCACCGCATCCGACGCTTTGCATTGCACTTGGTGATGTATGGCTTGGATGCAGCTGCTCGACCATGGAAACCCATTCCATGAAGCTCTCTGCGCACTGTTCTTGAGCTAATCTGAAGGCCACATGAAGTTTGGAGGTCTGTAGTGATTGACTCTGCAGAAAGTTGGCGACCTCTTCGCACTATGCGCGTCAGCATCCGCTGACCCCGCTCCGTCAGTTTACGTGGCCTACCACTTCGTGGCTGAGTTGCTGTCGTTCCCAAACACTTCCATTTTCTTATAATACAGCTGACAGTTGACTGTGGAATATTTAGGAGCGAGGAAATTTCACGACTGGATTTGTTGCACAGGTGGCATCCTATCACAGTTCCACGCTGGAATTCACTGAGCTCCTGAGAGCGACCCATTCTTTCACAAATGTTTGTAAAAACAGTCTGCATGCCTAGGTGCTTGAATTTATACACCTGTGGCCATGGAAGTGATTGGAACACCTGATTCCAATAATTTGGATGGGTGAGCAAATACTTTTGGCAATATAGTGTATGTGCATATGGAACTTTGAAGAAATGAGATGCTTAACTCTGTTTACTGCAAACTGTGATGCAACGGTGGTAGAAAATTGCTGATGTTTGTGCAAGGATAGTCACAGTTATCGGAGACCACTCTATTCTGTGATTGAATCAGAAGGTGCATTTTGTCCTATGACCTGATCAATTGCTTTGTCAGAAGAACACTGTTCTGTAACCCACCCCATGTGTTATGATCTGCTAATAAAAAGGTTTCTGCTGAGGAGACCCACCAGAGAGCAGATGTGGCTGAACGTGGCTCTCTCCTTCTGCGGAAGCCAAAAATCCCTATTCTGTGCGGACTCAGTTTCTCTTTTATGAACCTACATTTTTGAACGTAACATACACAACGCACAATCAGGCTGGAAGTCAGGCGGATTGAAAATCTGGAGAATCGGCCCGAAAAGGGCAAAAAAAAAATCATACAGTGTACACCCGACTTTGGGGATATTTCCCTAACTTGTTCACTTGGACACAACAATTCTCAAATATAAAATAAATAATAAATGGTGATATCATTGCATCATCTCATTGATGCTACCATGTTTTTCCTTCTTTGTACACTGTAGCTTAGTTTGATATGAAATCAAAAGTCAGTCAAGCTTGGAACTTAATTAATTTTCTTAATAAACTCTTATATTTTGAACAGATGTTTTGGTAAATTTATTCCATATATGTGTGGAGTTGTCTGATCATAATTTTACGCTTAGGGTGGCCATTTCTATAGCACTAAAAAGGATTATGCACCATATCAACTCTATTATGCTCTCATTCATAGTACAATTTGAGGGGCTTAAAGAGGATGCTAGTGTAGATGGAAAAAGCCTAATATTTTATTTAATCAACAAGAGATAAAAAAACACATTCAACTGCTGAAAAAGTATAGCCTTTTTAAAGTGCTTCAGTCTGTTGGGAAGTAGAGCATGTGAGGATGCTCAGGATGTCCAATCATTTCCCTGCTCAGGAGGATGTCCAATCATTTCCCCTCAGGAGGATGTCCAATCATTTCCCCGCTCAGGAGGATGTCCAATCATTTCCCCGCTAAGGAGGATGTCTAATCATTTCCCCGCTCAGGAGGATGTCCAATCATTTCCCCGCTCAGGAGGATGTCCAATCATTTCCCTGCTCAGGAGGATGTCCAATCATTTCCCTGCTCAGGAGGATGTCCAATCATTTCCCTGCTCAGGAGGATGTCCAATCATTTCCCCGCTCAGGAGGATGTCTAATCATTTCCCCGCTCAGGAGGATGTCCAATCATTCGCTCTGATGCTCAAAGTTGCTCCAGGACGCTCAGCTCTAAATCCGGTGAAATCTCCGGTGAAATCACTCCACAATCGCTCATATTTTTCAGGAGAAGGCATTTTCTGACATCTTTCCTTCCTGTAATGATGCCAGGGCCCTGGGACACACGGAGTCTGCTGACCCCGGAACCGGGTCGCGGGGGCAGCAGACTAAGCAGGGACTCCCAGACTTCCCTCTCCGCAGACACCTCCTCCAGCTCTATTGGGGGAAGCCCTAGGCGCTCCCAGGCCAGCCGAGAGACATAGTCTCTCCAGCGTGTCCTGGGTCGTCCCCTGGGCCTTCTCCCGGTGGGACGTGCCTGGAACACCTCCCGAGGGAGGCGTCCAGGGGGCATCCGAAGAAGATGTCCGAGCCACCTCAACTTACTCCTCTCGATCTGGAGGAGAACCGGCTCTACACTGAGCCTCTCCCGAATGACCGAGCTCCTCCCCCTATCTCTAAGGGAGAGCCCAGCCACCCTGCGGAGAAAGCTTATTTCAGCCGCTTGTATCCGGGATCTCGTTCTTTCGGTCATGATCCAGATTTCATGACCATAGGTGAAGGTAGGAACGTAGACCGAACGGTAAATTGAGAGCTTTGCCTTTTCGCTCAGCTCTCTCTTCACCACGACAGACCGGTGCAGCGTCCGCATTATTGCAGCAGCCGCACCGATCCGTCTATCGATCTCCCGCTCCATTCTTCCCTCACTCGTGAACAGGACCCCAAGATACTTGAACTCCTCCACTTGAGGCAGGGACTCTCCTCCAACCTGAAGGGGACAAGCCACCTTTTTCCGGTCGAGAACCATGGCCTCGGATTTGGAGGAGCTGATTCTCATCCCGGCCGCTTCACACTCGGCTGCGAACCGCCCCAGCGCACGCTGTAGGTCTTGGCAGGAGGGAGCTAGCAGAACTACGTCAACCGATACATGTGTATTGTCTTATTTAACTGGCTGTTAAATCATTGCACTGTTTCCCAGCTGTAAACGTAACGCCTCGCTCCATCCATGTTGGTCCGTTAAATCAAATGAATGTCATTTTACAAATGCAATAATCCAACATTTTAAAATTGATGTTGTGAGCACACATCGGAGCGAACTGGAGCGGAGCCAAATCCTCGCTCCGGCCTTGAATTGAAAACCACTCTATGCTCCACCATATTTCTTCCACTCCGCTCTGCTCACATGCTCTACTGGGGACGTGTCTTCAGTGTTTCAGTGTGTGCAGCTGCAGCAGAGCTGCTGTCTTTAAGCTTACCCCTTTAGTTGTAGGCCAGTCTCCTGGTCCACTTTCACGCCACAGTCTACAGTCCTGTAGGACTGGTGATGTTTTACAGTCTGGTCTATCTTTCACAGCTCCGCAGAAGTTATTTTGGTATCCAGGGGCGACGAAACTTGATTAAAAAAGTCCTTCCTCGCATGCCGTTCAATCCCAGCTTTTCCTTCACTGCTTACTCCACATTGCATCACCAAAATGTGCAGAAGCAATGGAACGAGTCTTGGCTACTTTTCGTTATAAAAAGTCGCTCTATTGTTTATTCAGAAGGTATGAACAAAAGAGGTCTTGCGTTTAGGCATGATAGTAACTTTCTGTCAATCTATAATTTAGCAGCACTGATCCTTGTTTACTGTTTTAACCAATGACAAGCAGATATTTATCTGACACAGCACCTCTCTTAGCCAATTAACTGTTAGATCAGACACCCGGCGCAGGGCTGCAGCCCAGCAAACACTGAAATAAATCTGCCTCATATAGGAGGACAAAGTCCAGAAAGTGCAATGAAAATCCAGACAAAATTCAGTCTGTTCAGCCTAAATCCAGACTCTCAAGCCTAAATCCAGACTATCCAGCCTAAATCAGGACATCCGATTCCCTCTTTTGTTTGTTGTTCTAACACGCAGCCAGCAGAGCGTGTGTTCATGAAAAATATATGACAGTCTGAATAATAACTGATCATCTGATTAAAAAAACAATACTAATAATATTTATTTAATAATAATAATATTTACCAGCCCTACCAGGGTTGACAATACGAATATTAAAGTTTCACAAGAAGTTCTTCCTAATCTTTTGTTTCTTCCACTTCAGATTTACTCTAAAGAAATGTCTCCAGCCTTAAAGCTGTACATAGAAACTCATTTAAACTGTTTTCTGCTTCACTCACCAGAATCAGAGTCTGTTGTTTGGAAGGAAAAGATGAACTTAGTTCGTCTTCAGGAGGAACAGGCATGTGTTTTTCTACGGCAGCTCAGGCTTGATTCTGGCTAGCTTTCACTTTCATTTCTGCAAAGTGACGTTTTTAAACTCCTGACTCAGTGCTGTTCCTCCCATAGATCTGTGAAGCTGGTTAGAAGTTGGACATTCAATGCTCCGCATAGTCAGCAGGATCTAGCTCACGGCTGATCTGACTGAGGGACTCTGATGTCAGCCAGCGTCTCTTAGCTGCTCCCTCCTCCCACACCCTGGGGTGCAGTTAGGGGCCATCAACAAATCTTTGGACCCGGGACTCTGCAGAAACAAAACGCTCTATATTCCTCATCTTGTGATCGGCTAAGAAGAAACTAATATAAAATCATGCCAATAGATAAGATTTGTAAGGAGATCAATTTTAAGCTCTTCTAACTGTGGCAGCGCGAGAGGGTGAAGCTGCTACTCTGCCCTTCAAAGCAGGGTAGCCAGCGGGTGTCACAGCGCCACCTTGGGTATTGCGCCCAAGGAAATAGATTGGTTTGTACCCAAGGAGAACAAGACTTCTTTTAATGCAAAAAAAGAATTCATCTTATTGTTTTCTCTCTTTAAAAAAAAACAGTAAAATTCAAGGAGCACAATAGGAAAGGGAGTGCAGTGCTGGGGCCTACCAGCAGGGGGAGTGCAATCCAAATGTGGAAACTGGGCATAAACAAATAAATAAATCAAAATAAATCACCCCAAGCACCTGTGAATAAACACTCAATCTCTGAAGAAACCCCAACACCGGTCACTCGCACAGCACACTGGTCCAGTCCCTCTGGATGCCCCCCACTGCCTTCAGCTCCCAGCCTGGAAACAAAAGGGTGGGGTTGAACAAAGCAAATACGAAACAGAAAGAAAGAAACTACAATTTACACATCGGTGCTAAAATGAGGTTACCCTCTGATACAGCCAGTTATTAAAATCAACAGTTTGATCAAAATGGTCAAAAAAACCCCCACAGCAGTCACACCCAGCCAAGCTGGAGGCAAAAACAAAGCAAAAACAAAGCAGCAGGGCTTCCAGCGAGCTGCAGCAGCGTCAGACCTGAAATTAAGTTAGATTCATAGGTGTTTTTGGGAACATGGCGCAAGGCAGAGGAAACCATTGTCACCTACCAGAGCTGGATGACTCCACCTCAACCAGAGAGCCTCTTCCGGCCCCACAGCAGGAGGATCCACTTGTCAATACAAGCTATGTACAAATAATTGTTATTTTATGATGGTGAACTGCATGGGTGCAGAACAATACAGGTACATACCCTTTTTATGTTGCCAAGTAGCATTGGGAGGGTAAATTACTGCCACATCCCAGTATAGTCAGGAGGCTTCAGGCAGCTTCTGAATTTAAACAACTTGAATTAGCCAACTCAAATTGAGATTTTTACAGAAAGAGAAACATTACTTACTATTTCAGATTTTGAGTTTGACCACTGCAAATTAACCAAGAAGACATTCAACTGAATTGTGACCAAATGCAGGCATGAAGAGAGAAGGCTAGGGAGTCTGCCTTTATGCTCCCACCCACTCAGGGGATTAGGTGCCAGGTGTCTTCAATCCTGAAGAAGGCTTCATCCTGCTACATAACATTTTTAATTTATTTTAAAAGACAAAATTTGGGGTTTTCTTCAATAGCTTCCAGCTCATGTGACTCACTGACTCCGAATCTGTGTGAAATTGTTCTACTACCTTTGCCTAATGGGGCACACTCATTTTTATTCCATTTAAACCCTTTGTATATTTTTATAATTTGGAAAATATATATAGATATATTTTTTTATTCAATAGCTTCTAGCTCATGTGACACATTGACTCAAAATCTGTCTGAAACAGTTCTACTACATGGGAGAAATGAGACATACTCAGTTTTATTTAATTTGAAATATTTTTATATAGTTTACATTTTTTTAATGCAAAATTTGTTTTTTTCCATAGCTTCCAGGTAATGTGAAACATTGACTCACAATCTTGATGTTGGGATCTGGAGATTCACCACCTTTCTCCAGCACAGTGCGCTGTGGGTCTCCTGGGCTGGAGCCCTCCAGCACACCTGACGCTCATCAGCCCATCAGGAGACCTTCCTACATAAGCAGCAGCCAGACCTTCCTTCAACGCCGCAGTGTTGACCAAGTTTGGTTAGCGAACCTGAGCCTCTGTTATCCTGATAGAATCTTAGTTGTCTCTAGAGAGAAACCTGATTCTAATCTGCCTCTGTCTTCTTGCTCACAGGAAACCCGTCTAAGTCTAAAGCTTTGGATGAGCTTTGCCTGTGAACCTGCCTGCCTGCCTAAGGGAGCCAAACCGGAAGATCTCAATCTCGACTCCTCCTGCTGCTCTCAAGGAAGAGCTGGAATCTCAAACCAAGGTCTGCCACTCACAAGTCAGAAGCTAGACGCTGCTGCTGCTGAGCACTCTGCTGAACCAACAGTCTCTGGACCCAACCGGTTCCCTGTCTCACAAAGATCTGTCTGGACCTCTTCAAGGTATATTCTGAATAATCTAAATTCAACAAACCATCTGACTGCCTGGCTAATCAAACTATCCGTCTCTGCAGACATCAGTGAATCCAGTCCCGGACCAGTGCCCGACCCAGTTCATGTTCTTTGTGTGAAAACCATCAATAAACTCTGTTAAACTTTTACTCTGCTTCCAGTGGTGTTCTGCATGTGGGTTAAGTCTCTTAAGCCAATCATGACACTTGCTGAGATTTTTCTACTAGATGGGACAGAGGAGGCAGACTAATTTTTATTTTATTCCAAGTATATATTTTTTATCCATCCATTTTTTTGTCACATTTATCCCAAGCGAGGTAACGAGGGGTGCTGGAGCCAGGTGGGGTCCACCCTGGACAGGTAAGCAGTCCATTACAGGGCAACAGAGACAAACAACCATTCACACACACACTCACACCTAAGGAGAAGTTAGAGAAGCCAATTAACCTAACAGTCATGTTTTTGGACTGTGGGAGGAAGGTTCCTGGAGAGAACCCACGCATGATCAGGGAGAACAGGCAAACTTCATGTAGAAAGACCGGGAAATGAACCTGGAACCTTCTTGCTGCAAGGCAAGGCAGTGCTACCCACAGCGTCATTTTTTTTTTATTCAAACTTTAGCCTCTCTTCAATAGCCTCCAGGTCATGTGAAACATTGACTCAAAGTCTGGGTGAAATTGTTTTACTAGCTGGGACAGATGTTGCACACTCATTTTTTCATTTCACATGTTTTCATGTTTTAGGATTTTTTTGAATAAAATTGTGTTATTCATTAGCTTCTAGGTCATGTGACCCATTGAGTCAAAATTTGTATAAAATTGTTCTACTAGAATGTACAGATGAGGAACACACTGTTGGAAAAAATTTTATATGAATAGAAGTATTGTAACACATTACATTCTTAGACAGAATTGTTAGACAGTATGGAACTAATTTCATCTGTTATGCTGGTGATACACTATATCTGTTGTGGTTGGAAAATTTAGATTTCTCTTATTTGATATAATGATTTATGCTATTTACTCACTGAAATTTTTTTTTTACTCATTCTGTTTAACCTGCAAGGCCACGTAATGCCCGAGTGAGGGGCAAGACATATTCATTTGTCCAGATAAGGACAGCGCTGATTACCATGCAGTCAGTACTGCATGATAAACTATTCTCTTTTTGCAAAGATACAATAAAATGCTAACTGATTGAAATCCATCGATCTCTGTTTATTTAACTAGAGTGAATAGTTGAGAACGTTCTTCCGACGACACTGTCTGTAAAGATGAAGCTAACCCATTACACAGACTACGGACATGTCTTAAAGGCATAAAAACCTGGATGACTCTTAACTTTCTGGTTATCCTGAGCTATCTCTATAGATATGCTGCTATATGATTAGACTGCTGGAGGACATAGGGATTCTTTTCATCATTCTGCTTCATTATATCTCCATTCTCCCATTCTGCAGTCTTTGCTTGTTCAACTCTGATGTTCTGCTTTCTCTGCTTTTATTATCACAGTAGCTTCATCTGGTCTGTTCCTGTTTGGCTGTGACTCCATCCAGGAGAGAAATATCAGATGTATGGCTGCCATCATCACCTTTTTTTAATAGATGTTGGAGCTTGGCGTGTTTTTCAGTGTTTTCCTGTTACTCTGACTGTGACTAACTGGATGTGCTCTCTTTCATCCTCTGACATGGGAGCTGGCTTAGAGCTTGTCTGCCTGGCTGTGTGTTTCCTGGACGGGGCCGCCTGTGGAGCTTGGGGACAGTTGCCTTTTGTATCTATGCTTCTTTTTGCAGTCTGCTTCTGTCTCTTTGAACCCCAGTCAGCAGATGGCTGCTCACCCCAAAGGGAGTTTTTCAGGCTCTTCCAACAGCTGTTCTAACGGCTGTTCCAACGGTTGCAGTTCCGAATGGTCCCTGACTTTACACGAGTGAATAAAGTGAATGTGATTGGTCGATTATCAAGGGGGCGGGATTGTTGTGGCGGAAGGTTCGCAAGCAAGTTTGATTGTGGCTGGTGTCTCTAAGCATCTTGCTAACCAGTTAGCAACTTAGTGCTAGTAGGTTCCCATTGGGAAATTCCATTGGGACCAAGTAGCACTGAATTAGTGACTTAGAAATGACACTGTCAAGGAACGCTATGGACAGCGGAAACATGCAAGAGGAGGAGAGTTTAGTGTTGGAGGTCATGGATGAGTCTCCTCCGTCATCCATTTTTTATTTAGAGGAGGAAAGCGGGGACGAAGATGTTGTGGAAGAGGACGCCAGGGCGGCAGAAGCTTGGTTTGGTGTAGAAGGCTTCCAGCCGTACATGTTTGAGCCCTTGCCTCGCAACGCTGCCAGTTCTGTTAGCTCTACGCCTGCTGAAGACACAGACGTCCATTCCCGTGAACACTGGGACACAACTCAGTGTGAAAGGAAATGATTCTGATTTCAACCATTGCGTATATTAGCTGTGACATATGAATCAAGATGCTGTGACCGAAAAAATGTGATTGACAGATGACCGTTGATATATGATTGGCCGAATTTAGGTGTACAAGCTGAAGTATAACTAACTGACCTGCA